AATTGAAAAGTCAAAACTGTCAATAGAATCAAAAGGACCATCAAAAGCACGTAATTTATCTAAAACATCCAATAAATTTTTTGCACTCCAAAAATAGTTAATTTCACTATTTTCATATGTTTTATTATAATAGTTAATGATAAGTTCTTTGATAGTAGTTAAGGAACTAGTTAAAACACTGAAAGATTAGTTGTAGAACACCTACTAGAGGCCGAGATGAAATGATATTTTACAAGTTTTTTGTGTAGTTTAGGTAACCAATACATACTAGGGACCTTCAAATGTTTAGAAGAGGCCTTAAGCTGTGATGTGGGCAGTGGTTTTGATATGATTGTTTACTATATGAATCTCTGTGAAGCGCACGGACTTGAATGTAGAAGAATTAAAATTTTCATTCTTAACTGCTTTGTAGGCCGGTACAAACACAAATCGCTTTGAAAGTACTTGAAGTTTGTGTCTTATTCTAGAAACAGGTGTATTATATACTCTTATCTATTTCTAGATTATTTTCAACATGTGATATTCGAATATCACAACATTCATACACTTATTTGAATAAGAATCAAAAGATTTTTTTTTCAAATTTTTCGCGTTTACACCAATTTTTACAATACGATGAAAGAGCGTCTTTTGTGACCTGACGAGAATGTTACCACATAATGCTGTTTGTGGTTTTACTAAATATTTTGAAAAATCAGACTGCGATACCAAACTATAATTTAAAAAAACAATTATGTTACATCCAAAGGCCAAAACGGAGAATTTAAGAAAGGGTTGTTATAAATCATACCTGTGTCGAAGTACTGACTACAGAGCTGATGATATCATCAGAGGGAAACTTAACAATCACTTACTAGTAATTATTGACAAAGAATAAATCATTGACACTTTATTTTTCCAGCTCATTTGACTTGATAGGCCATGCGTACGATGGCAAACACTTGGAACCGTCGTTAAAGGGGCATTATCTACGAGATATAAAAAAAATTAAAAATGTGTTTAAACATTAATGAGAGTGAAATAGTGAAACAATAATTCGCATTTAGCAGCCAATTTGGTCCAATTTGGTCAAAATAATTTAAGAAACATCGCTGATGAATTATTCACTTGCAAGAATTCATATCCGTATTCATGTGACCTTCAATTTAATCCCTTAGCTTGGAACGGGTTACGCATGAATTAGGCGTTTTCAGCTATTAAAAGGAAAGGAATGTCAACATTGAAAGTGAAACAAGGGTAAACCATTTGATTGACTGATTCGATCAACAAAAACTCATTCTTATACAGGTAAAATCGATGATTAACATATATTTTTAACCTATAATATGAAATCAAACAGACATAGAAAAATCCAATTGCACGAGTTCGCTATCTATTTATATCTATCTTTATGTTTATATCGGATTATATGAACGTCGGCAGTTTTCGGAGGTCACCTCGATAGTTAATTAGATGGCGTCTAAACTAAAATACACAAGAAATGCTGATACGTAATATCGAGACTATGCATTGTAAATTGTTTATTTTAGACTTTTTATAATTTGGATATACGTTTTGGTATGTTATAAATCAAATATGAGAATTTGAGTCAAATTGGTGGAATTGAATTTGACGGCAAATGCCCCTTTAAAAAATGCATGGAATTGTTATAATGTATCATCATTTCGTGCGTATTTTGAACAAGACGGAATCTAAATAGCCATCGAGATGATCTCCAAAAAATACCGATAATCATATGACCCGATAAATGCATAAATTAACAGACGACACATGAGGTCATATAAGGACGATGTTTATGTCTGTTTGAGTTAATATCACAGATTTGAAAATTGTGTAAATAATTTTTTGACATACATAAGAATGATCTTTTGTAGGCCGAATCGGTCAATGGAATGGTTCTTCCCAGTGACTGCCTTGTTTCACTTGTCAATGTTGACAGTCTTTTCTTTCTTTTCCTTTCCATCTCCAGATAATGGTGAAATGGTCGCATGAATACGGATTCAACTGAGGTTGAATTATTGACTTGCAAGCAAATGATAAATCAGCGATGTCTTTTAGCTTATTTTGACAAAATTGAACCAAACTGAGTGTTCTTATAAAGAAATGATATTAAAAAAACTATATATATTCCATTTTATATTTTATAAATGTTTGAAAAAATATTTTGATATTTTATTAAAATCGTACTTAATGCCCCTTTTATGAACTTTAACAATTTTAAAGATTTTTCCTCTTATATAAGTTATAAGTCTGGTTTTAAATTTGACATACTCAATGATCATAGCTTTAAAGGATACTTGATATCTGTATTGATGGTCTAGCCAGACGTACTATTAATAAATGTTCCTTTAATGGCCTATTTTTAACACCTGATCATATCACTAGTTACACTTTTAAAGTTCCTTACAGGTTCACCATAAGTGACAATAATAGACTGAATCGCATAAAGACTAATTATTCAAATCCTCTTCAGTAATCAAACCATCATTATCCTTTTCAATTACTACATGTATTCGTATGTATTTCTTAATCATTTGTGATTTTGCTTCTTAAAACTTCAATTCAACACTCTGCTTTCTCTTAAAAAGTGTCTTTACTGTGAAAGGAATATGACAGATAGATTGTATTTGTTAAATCAGATCGCACAAGTGGTTTTTCTTCTGTTTCGAACTTTAATTTACTTTAAACCTATATTTTTAAAACTATATTTGGCAAAACTATTCGGAATTTTCATTTTTTAATGCTCTTAAATTTCGTATTCCATTTGGCCTCCAACTGTTCGAGCGCCTCTGATGAGACTTAGGTAGACGAAACGAGCGTTTGGCGTACCAAATTATAAGCCTGGTATTTTTGATCCGACTTTACCACCACGACTCGGTCAATGTCACTGTAGGTGGGTGTTTCATCCGCGAGTGTATCACCATCAAGCAGTCCGGTGCTGACATGAAAAATCATTGATGTTTTTTGTGTAAATTTACTGTTACAGTATAAAATGTTGAATTACTCGAAATACTAAGGTTTTTCTACCCCCGTACATAGATTGCCTTAGCGTATTCAACAAAATATAAGCCTGGTATCTTCAGTTTTTTAACTTTATCACACGTTTTAATTTTTTGTACACTTTCTCTGGCCTCCAAATCAAACAGAACCGATTAAATTTATGAAAATAAATCATTTTAAACGAATTTTTGGAATAATAGAAAAATATATGAAAATGAAACGGCTTCAATCGAAACTGGGAAATAGTGAAATATTTCGAGTATTGGTTGACCGTTATGGAATATATGTTTCACAGATGACGACGGATATGTTCCAATTGTCGTAACTACAATATCCTCCCCTTTCCCCCGAATTTGACCTACCGAATTAGACATATCACCGGGTTTGTACTTACATGAGCAACACGACGGGTGCCACATGTGGAGCAGGATTTGCTTACCCTTCCGGAGCACCTGAGATTACCCCCAGTTTTTGGTGAGGTTCGTCTTGCTCAGTCTTTGGTTTCTATGTTGTTTTGTGTACTGTTGCTTGTCTGTTTGTCTTTTTCTTTTTTAGCAATGGCGTTATCAGTTTATTTTCGAATTATGAGTTTGGATGTACCTTTGGTATCCTTCGCCTCTCTTTTATAAAAGAGAAATGTTGTCCAATCTGTGATAGGTCATCTGGGTGATAGAGAAATGTTGTCCAATCTGTGATAGGTCATCTGGGTGATTGTCATATTGTTTATCACATCTTCTTATCTATTCGAAAGTCAGAAAAGATGATGATTTAACTTAAGAAGGATATTGTCAAATGTACACAGTATATGCATTTATACATGTAAGTTGTAAAGTATGTTACTGTAACGCTGTATTTTGCGGTTGAATCACTATCAGGTAAATGAATTTTAAGAATGTTTATTCATATTGTTACCAAGAATAATTGTGTAAATCGCACAAACGGATATTTAATATTGTTTTGTGATGTTATCCATATAAACCGTCTTGTCTTTATGTATCAACATAAGGTGACATATGAGACAAAGATTTTCAAATTATACAATTTTCATTTACTTTAAGAAATACAGTCGATAAACACCGAGTATAACATGTCTTGCATCGAACTTTTCCAATATCTGACAAATACTGAGTCGTATGTGCCAAGGAACTTTGTTTCAGTCTGATATCTGACATACAGTGAGTTAGAAAGGTCTGGTATAAAAATGTCTGATATCTGACAAAAACTGAGTCGTATGTGCCAAGGAACTTTGTTTCGGTCTGATATCTGACATACAGTGAGTTAGAGAGGTCTGGTATAGAAATGTCTGATATCTGACAAATACTGAGTATTAAAAATCTTACACCTAATTCTTTTGTTATCTGACAAACACGGAGTCATACATGAAATGAAAATAACATTTCAAAGACTGGAATTTCTGGATTTACCTTTATCAGGAACACTCAAAGCCGAACATTTAAAAATTTGAAAGCTAAGGATGTATAAGAACCGTAACAGTTGAAAGGTTGACCAAAAAGGACTTAAAAGTACTTTCGTTAAGTTAATTGTTTGCGTTACTTTCAACTATGAGATTGGGTGTTTTCTTCCTGACATTGACCCCGTATCCGATCGTTTCATTAAAATATCAGGGGATGAAATATGAACTAAAACCTCTTTCACACATGCACATTTTAAAATACAATATTCGAATGTTTGTTTGTGCTTCCGCGCTTCATACAAAAATATCAAATAGAGATTAATGCATTATTTTTGTCGATTTTCAGTTTTATTTCAACGACCCAATTTAAGGTTGTATGCAAAATTTTAGCAATATCTGTGACATAGCCCATTTACTGTTCCTTGACCTTAAGAGTTTTTTTCATTTAGACATTATAACCGAAAAGTTAGTATCTAAAATTTAATTTTGTATTTACTTTTTAAAGGAAGAAAAAATATCAGTTATTAAATGTTCACATAGCGATCAAACACATCTACAACATACTGTTTTCCATGCATCGGTTCACATCTGTTAAGTCGGTGTCCCTTGTTGTCACTTGTTTTATATTGAAATATACGCAGACATTTAAAAAAGAATATGCATAGAGATACATTCACTAGTTAGGTGTGCGAGCCAAATTATTGATGTGTTAGGTTATTAAAAGCTAGGATACAAAATTCTGGATAGTATATTTTAACAGCAAGATGTGGAACAGAACTTATTTGTATAATTTTGAGACTGGTACCTCAGTGTACTTCCATACCTATGACTATGTTGTGTTTGGTATAACGTTAGGATTGTCTGCTACTATTGGACTGTTTTATGCCATAAAAGACAGAAAAAAGAAGAGTGAGAATGAATTTCTCCTGGCCGGACGTAACATGTCTGTTTTTCCAGTAGCACTTTCTTTGATGTCCAGTTTTATTTCAGCCATAACATTGTTAGGAACTCCAGCAGAGATGTACCGGTACAATACCATGTACTGGTTTATCGTTTTGGGGTTTCTGATCTCTGTCATTTTGTCGAATACTATTTTCATCCCAGTTTTCTACAATCTTGGAATTACCAGTGTTTTTGAGGTATGTGCATGTTGTATTCTTTTTTTATCAGAATTCAGTTTAAATAATTTTGTATTTATTATACCCCACGCAACAAATGTTTTTGACCCGTCCGTCCGTCAGTCCGACATTCCTTCAGTTCGTCCTTCCGGAAGTCCTGATCTTGTCATCACAACCCCTCTGAATCCACACAACAGAATTTCACGAAACTTTGTAGATAATAAGGACATACTATGTGAGTGTGCATATCAACAAGATATTATGATTCAATTCTTTTCTAGGAGTTATGCCTCTTAGAATTTAGAATTTTGGTCTAAATATACTACTGGAAATGTTTGTCATCCCAACTCCTCTGAAACCAAACAAGTGAATTTTATGAAACTTTGTAGTTAATGATGACATAAAATGCAAATGTAGTATGAATGTATGCAAATGATCATATCCACAAGAAATTTTTATCGGTTGACTTTTGTTGGAGATGTGAGTCTTTGAACTTAAGAATCTGGCCAGATTTTGTTTGCCCAGTGCCAATGAGGGGGCATGGGGTATGTGAGCGTGCTCACAAAGGTTGTTTAATTATTTTGATTTTAAGAAACTCGCGTGTAGGTTAGAAAAAAGAAATACCATTTTATAATGAGATAAAAAAAAAAAACATACACACGCTTTTACTGGAATAAGAACATTCCTGTAAACCTTCTGCTAAAAAATAAAAAAAAGAACTTTGTGGATTGTTGATTGGTTTTGCTCCGAAACGACCAGTCTGCTATAAGCCCTAAATGACTCGTGCTAAAGAAAATGTTTGAAATCTTTAGTTTGATTCGGCACAAATTCAAACCAACGCTCCCCCATGTTTGAAATTTTTGGTTTGATTCGAAACAAGTGTAAACCACTCCCCTCTCGTCACTTCCCACAATCACAAACGACTGCCACGCAGCTTAAAACGTGATGGCGTATACGATGGATAAAGAATATACTGAGTAGCACTGTGGAGTGTAAAACAATAAAGTATTGTTGTTTACATATTATATGATAGGTTATTTATGAGAATGTTTATCGAACCATGCCAAACTGACCAAATTAGATACTTATGACCAGTTCAACAGTTATGAAGTTGTATGTCCGAGGTTACTTATCCTAAACTTATTATACTTATTATATTGAACTATATTAAACAGACCAAATTAGATTTGACATATATTTTTTAATACAGTTTGATTCTTTTCTTAAAGTATATGTTTACATTTGTAAATTATCAGGTATATTCTGCAAACATATTAAACGGTATTCTCCATACACCAGTAGTTACGTAGTAGAGAATTGATAAGAAGTAGTGGATTCGTAAACGATAATCAACGAGCGACTTTAGTCGCAAGTTGATTATCGTTTCCGAATCCACTACTTCTTATCAATTCTCTAGCTTAACCCATTTCTAGTAAAACGACTGTCTGTTTTATGTTTTGACAATGAATCAACGGAATTTCATAAAAATAATTTCGTATTTTGTCTTTTTTATTTTATAACAGCTGGAAATGATTATATCCGCACGGTTCACGTCTATATTTAAGTTAACATACGTTTAATAATAACTTAAATGGGTTGTTAGCTCCCCTTTTTATTACCAGATTTCATACTTGTATATTTATATTTCATTTAATGCTTTATCATTACAAAGTATTTAAATTATATAGATTTTGGTATTTATGATTTATTCAAAAAGACATATATAAATATACAGAATTTATTTATCTTTTTTTGAATAGTTAAAAAATTGTAATTACCAAAATTTAGAAACCTTTGAAATTTACATATATAGTATTTAGCAATCAGCTATTGTTGACAGCTGATTAAGAATTGTCTACAATTTAACCGTACTAAGTCAAATACATATATTTAGCGTAGTTGCCATAATACTACAATTTCATGATGCTCCAGTTAATGATGCTTTCCGAAATAAATAAAATAATTGCTTAAGGTCTTTTTTGAACAATTATACATGAATTTTTTTTTAAACTGTTTCCCTTTCATTAAGTTTAGATTATTTTTAACGTTATTACATTTGGCATCCATCGTAAACCAGTCAACAAACTAGTATTATCTGTGGTACGCATTTTGAATCTCCAGCAGAATTGCTCTTGCTACAGATGTACAATGTATAATTATGTAAATTTTTTACTTTTACATTCAAGCTGTTCATAGCCGTGATCGTCTAGTCGTTGGTACCGAAAAACATAACTGTGACATTAACAGTGCCAAGTTCAAACCTTGTACCCGAATTGAAATTTTTTCATTGTAATTTTTTTCTCAACAAAAATATTGTTTTAATCTTAGAGGTATTATATACTTCATTTTCATTTAAAGGCGATGATTTTGTTTCTGGTTTTACAATCAAAGAAGTAGTTTTACGGTCGGAGCTTATATATCACACTTTATTCAAATTGGAGTCCGTTCCATGTTGACGTGATGTATATTTGGACCATTTATAATCAAACAAAGAAAAAAATATTGATAGTACGATATCATTATAAGACTAAAACCATAAGTAAGTATTTGCTATGATAAAAAGGAAAAGTCCTTGTACGTTAAAAGTGACAAGTGTAATGGGCATATGAATGTTTATTTTATCAAAGAATTGCACTAATATATACAATTCCTTGATTCTCTAGTGTTTAGAACTAGTGTGTAATAGCCACAATCGTATAAAGACCCATCGGTTCATTATAACGATGTTGAAAATCGACCAATGTTCAAACCTGACATCGTGAATAAACTCTGTTTTGAGATATTTCCATACTGCTATATAACTATAATCAAGAACGTTCAAATGTAGAACATAATCTTCCTTAAAAAAAAACGCCCAAAATAAAACAATTTAAATAAATTTGAAAAGAACATGAACAAATCCAGACATAGTACATATATTTTATTAGATAACAAAAGCGAATTATCTCTGAGACAGACATACAGTTTATTGACATGTATTGACAGTTGTGCGCTTTATGAGTGTAATTTAAATATTGATTTATGTCAGCACTCGTGGTATAGTGGTATCATGCATAGACTGAAGACTCTACTGATTATGAAGAAAATACGCGCGAGTTCGAACCCTTCATATGCCACTCGTTTTTGAGAGGATAACAAATCGTAAGTTAAAAGTTTAAAGTATAAAAATAAGTTATCTTAAGTTAACGAAGTGGTCAGTGGATTCTTGAAAAAACAATCTACTGTAAGAACAATAGACTGACGTCAGAGAAATGGGTTAAATAATTTAGATGCAATGGATAAGCTTTGGTTCGTTAAAAAGATACCACGAAACCGGAGGGCGAGTGTTTAACTTTTTATAAAACGATTCAACGGTTATCAATTGTGTCTATTATTTAAACTATTGTTAAAGACGTCTTTTCAAAATTACAGTTGTTTCATTAATTGGGTTCTATTATCAGTGAGTTTAAATTACCACCTAGTAAATTATCTTGAAATATTCACAAGAAACAATCAATAATTAAAAGTATACAGGTAGTGGATTTAAATCATGAAATAATATTTAAAAACAAAACCGCATGCTTTTTCAGTATTTGGTACTGAAATTTCCATTGAATTAGTATCTGTAATTTACAAATTAACAAATAATACGTATGGTACCGAATTTCTAGCAACAAATTCTAGGCATATCACGGTTTATTCTGTCGCTGTAACTTTTATAATTTCGAAACTTGATTCACAGAAATGAAAAATAAATCATTTTGCCATCAAAATTAACAAAATATTCAGTTGTAAATGTAAATAGAACGCTCGCTACCTCAGGAGAAGGTGTACTTTGGTAAAGGATAATCTGTCGCAGACATTTGTGTGTCTAGAGTTAACGCTGTTTACCTATTCTGGTTAAACTATTTTCATTTGTACTCAAATGTTGCCAATTTCAAGTACAAAAGCTGTACTTAGAGATGAATATTCGTATACAGAAAACATCATCTCTATTGAGCAGCATCAATTACAACTGAAATACCATGCGCTCTGAAATCAGAAAGTAGTACAAGTTTTCAAAATCTCCATCTTGTCATAAATGCAAAATATTTACCCAAATACTAGTAGTCTGTATTTCCATCAAAACTGGGGGGGGGGGGGGGGGGGGTCTTAATGACTCCCATACTTTGCAGTAATAAGTCAAAATTGTCTTCAGGTAGAAGACAGAAGACAGAAGATAGAAGATAGGTGCGTTAAATATTTTCAGTGGCTTAAAATTGATAGCATAAGAACTGTTAGGTTGAAAGTAAAATGTATTTGGAAGTAAGAAATATTCAATATAATTCACAAAAAATATAATTTAAATTTTATTTCTCATTACAAGGTAATGGTTAGTTTAAAATGTACATGTAAATATTAAAGTGTTTCGAGTAAAGGTCATTGTCACCTTACTGCAATAGTCTATACACATCTGTTAATTTAAAACTCTACAATACGTAATAATAAGTACATGTGTACGGAAGCCGGTTAACGTCAGGGTGTAGTTTAATTTTAAGTCGTAATCTCGATATAGTTACTAGTTATTATGTGAAAGGTAACTCGTTATCATGACTTAGTAACTCGTTATCATGACGTAGTAACTCGTTATAACGACTGAGCTTGCTCTGTATCACAAGTTACTAAGTCTTTATTGGTTGTCAACATTGTTGTTTAAATAAAATAGATGATGAGAAATATTTCTTATTTTAATGTACAAAAAAATATGAAAACTTGAGACTCGATCTTTTACAGAAAATTAAAAACACTTATTCAAAAATAGATGATATGGATAACTTTGATAAATTAGTTGCATGTCTTTCATGTCCGTCAGTTTTGTAGCATGCTATTATATTCATTAAACAGTCATGGTCACTGAGGAGAGTGGAATCGAGATTTGCATGATTTGTACTTATGTACACTAGAAGCACGATTTCAGTCTGAAACGGTCATTTTGGTCTGATCATATCTTAATCGACTGGATTTACCGCTGGAGAAAAACGTCAAGACGCCGTTCCGATCGA